CGAGGTGCAGAAACCGGCACGGCATGCTCATCGGCAGGATGGCCGACGGCCCAGTCGGTCCCAAGGGACCGGAAGTGTTGCCAGTATCGCCTCAAGGGATGTTGGGGGTTGCTGTTGAAGAATGGTTCACTTACAGGGCTGGGGGTTTTCAAAGTTAAGTCTCAGCCTAGGTGCACGATCTCGTCGTCAGGGATGTGGATCCGCTTCGTGCTCCATATATAATCTAAGTATTCATGCGGATCCAAAAATGGCAAGGCCTTCTCGACCCTTCGTTTTGGATCTTCAGGATGGAGCAATCGGACGGTGACCCAGTTGAAGTCCTTAGTACTAGTTGCAACTGGACAGTGGAATATGATCATGGTTTATTAATATTTAAATAAACTATTCATGGGAATCAGCGCCTGGGCTTTCGATCGGCTAGAATATTGAGTCAGGCCACGATAGGAAGCCTCACAAACCGAAATAAATCGCGATCACAGTTTGATAGCCTCTCGCTGTGCATCTTTGCGACTCGAGCAGTGACTGCACTCACATTCTCCTCTCCAGCTTCCTTGCAGGGCAAATAATATATATGTATATATTCATTCAGCAATAAATCAGACCGTGCATGTGGGCATACTCTATAAGACCCGCCCTTTGGTCCTGGACAGCAGCATAAGCATTCTCCACGACACCTTTGGCACTTTGCCGGCCTTCGCCCAGCGACTTGAACCTAAGCACATGAACATACAATATATTGAAAACCACCACGGACAAGCTCAGCAACCACGGGATTCACAGGGGATCGGACATGTGCTGAGCCAGTGCAGCATCCTCACAAGAACTTTCGTCGTCGTCGGGTTCCAGCTCGATTCCTGCGGGGGGCAGGGGCCGGATAATAGTATTAGTACGAAATCATGCGATGAGATGGAAGCTTCAATTCACGGCCGAGGTTTCGAATCTTTTGTGGCACCGGCGGCGGCAAGTTTGACGAGGCTCGCTCCCCGTTCCCCAGCTTTAAAAGCACTCTGACCTAAGGCACGACTCGCCCTCTCCGGAACTTGTAGTGCCGACCCCACGAAATACCT